GAATTGGAAAATATATTTTCAAACTTCTTCAGTAAAGGACTTGTTTGCTGAGTATATAAAGAATCCAACTCAATCATAAGAAGATAAACAAATCTTATTCTTTAAGTGAGCATTTCTTTAAGGAAATGCAAATAAAATCACAAGATATCACCACAGACCTACTAAAATAGCTAAAATTTACAAGACTGACCATACCAAGTGTTGGCAAGGAAATGGAGCAACTGGAACCCTCATGGAGTGCTGGGGACAATGTAAAATGACGCAACCACTCTAGAAAACAATTTGGCAGCTTCTTCTTCTTTTTTTTTTTAAAAAGATGTATTTATTTGACAGAGAGATAGAGCCAGAGAGCACAAGTGGAGGGAATGGCAGAGGCAGAGGGAAAAGCAGGCTCCCGGCCGAGCAGGGAGCCCTACGCAGGGCCCAATCCCAAGACCCTGGGATCATGACCTGAGCCGAAGGCAGACGCTTAACCATCTGAGCCACCCGGGTGCCCCAATGGCAGCTTCTTAAAATGTGAAACATACACCTACTATAGGACCCAGCCATTGTACTCTTAGGGGTTGAGGCAGGAAAAAGAATTCATAGGTCCCCACAAAAATTTTTTTAACAAATGCTTGCATTGGCTTTATTTTAATAGCCAAAAATTGGGAACCACCCAAATGTCCGTTAATAGATAAATGGATAAACAGATAGTGGTATTTCCTTACAGTAGGGTGCTATTCAGCAAAAAAGTAATGAGCTATTGATACACACAACATGGATGAATGTCAGATAATTAAGGAGTGTTCTTGTCGTGATGAGCACCAGGTCATGTATGGAAGTGTTGAATCACTGTATCGTACACCTGAAACTAATATTACACTGTATGTTAACTAACTGGAATTTAAATAAAAACTTTTTAAAAAATAAAAATAAAATAATAAAACCTTTAAAAAATTGTGCTGAGAGTAAGAAGAGCATGTGCTGTGTTATGCTATTTACATAAAGTTCTAGAAAATGCAAACTAATCTATAGTGATAGAAAGCGGATTATGGTTTGCCTGGGAATGGGAGGCAGGACATGGGAGGCAGGCTGGGAGGAGGGAAGGACAAGGTAAAGGAGGAAACTTTGGGGGGTAATGGTTATGTTCATGAACTTGACTGTAGGAAGAATTTCATGAGTGTATACATATGTCAGAACTCATCAAGCTGTGAAGTTTCAATATGTTGTCTGTCAATTAGACCTCAATAGAGCTGTATGAAAAAAAAAAAAAAAGAATGGGGACCTTTCAGCAGGCATCTACTTTGTGGGAAGAGCATTATATAAATAATTATTAATCTTCACTCAAGGTAGGGGTTATTCAGCCCATTTTACATCTGAGGAAACTGAGTCAGAAAGGCCAGGTAGTCGTGCAAGTATGGCCAAATGAGTCTCAAACCCAGTTCAAATGTCCTCAGAGCTGGGGCACTTGTCTCCGTATTGTGAGGTCTTCCAACAATGGTGAACTTCCAGTAAGAAGCCAGAAATGATAGCCCCGGCTTCAACAAGACCTCTAGGATGCGAACAGAGGAGGATGAAGGGCTGGCAACATTGAGATGCCAGGGGATCTGTGGCATCATTGAGAGGACACCCTCTCCCTTCTGGGCTACCATTGCCACAAATTCCTTCAACGACCAAACCCAGCCCATCACAGGTTTTGGGCCAGACAGGCCAAGGCAGGAAGAGGGCTGTACCCGTCTCTGGGAACATCCTTCCCTGGGCAGCTAGAGTGGCTGGGTGGGCAGGACCCTGGCCAGACACTCAGGAGAACAGACTCCATTTCCACTGTGTCATAGACAAGGCCCTTCCCCTTTCTGGGCCTCCATTTCCTTAGATGGAAGATGTGAAGGCCAACCAACCAGGTTTCCAAGGACCTCTTTCAGCCCTGATTCACATTCCGAGCACCCCGCTGAAATGAGCTTTTCCTCCTCCTGAAGCTGATAAGGGCCAGAGAGGAAAAGGATTCTTGATTATCTACAAAACTGTCCACTCCGCTCCCCCATCCCCAACCCCAGCTTCACAGTCAAAGACACTCTTAGTGCCAAACCAAATCTTTCCCTCTGCCACTCTGCCTCCTCCCCCCAGCCCTACCCTCTGCAATAATCTTCCAAAGACCCCGACCTGCCATTGCTGCTTTGCTCCCTCGTTAGCAGGGTGAGCCCTGGGACACACAGACAATTTCTCCCTTTAGAATTCTTGGAGATGATGTATGGTTACGAGCTCATATATGGCATATACAGTCGCAATGTAGGAGCGCTCCTCCTCCCCTTGTCCCTTGTCGTGCCTGTATGTTCAAGACCGAGCCAAAATCTCTTGCCCAAACAGGCCAGGATATGTGGCTGGGTACACAATCTCTGTGAAGCTGAATTAAATCCCTCTTGCCAGAGGAATAATCACTTACCCAAACATGAAGGAAAACCAAACAGATCCATCTCAGTATGTTCCCCTGGCAAGAGCACCGGGAGTCCAGAGGCTAAGAAGGCCTCTGCTTCCAGATGACTCAGAGACCTGGGGCCAGCAGCACCCCAACTCACCTCCCAGGGCATCACATGAGTGAGGGGACTATGCTAAAGAACTCTATGGACCTCCCAGCTCTGATGCTATCTTACTGTAGACTGAAGAGTCCTCAGGGTCTGAGAGGAACAGTGTGGCCTTTCGTGAAGCTCCAAGCACTGCCACCACAGCTGTTCACAGAGCGGCAGAGATGGAATGAGGTACCCCGAGGGAAGGGACCCCGCTTGTGGGAACTGCATTTGGGAACCCCTGCCCATGTAGGCGCCAACTTGCTGTGAAGAGCACCCACTAATTCTGAGAAGCTGTGGAGTCCCAGCCAGGCTCAGCTTACATCTCGGTTGCTTGTGGGCTCTGCCATCTTGGTCAAGTCTCTTTACCTCTGCGAGAGACTCCATTTCCACATCAGCCTCGTGAGAACAGAAAAACCTACCCTGTTAGGTCATTGCCGAGTTCAGTGAGATCCTACAAACAAAGCATGAAGCACAAGGCCTAGAGCCATGACTAAGCCTTCCCTACCCTTCCCTGCCCTTCCTCATACACACACCTAAAAGTCCTCAGAATTAGATCTGCCCAGCTAGTTTCACTGACCTGGAAAACCAAACCCCTGAAGAGGAAGGGGTCTTAATTCCAAGCACACCAGGGGACCACTGCATGAAGTGCATGGGGGCTGGGGCAGCAGCTACCGGGGTGGGGTCTGAGAAGAGTAGAGGCAGGGCTGGCCCTGGAGACCATCCACCATGTCCCCTTGCCAGTCACATACAAGGGCTCAGTGGTCAGGAGGCTTCCTGAGCAGTGCTGCATTCCACCAGCCTCCTTCTCTGCCTCCCCAGGAGCAAGTACCTTCCCCCTCAGCCACTAACAGTCACCAGTGGTGTGACCTGGCTTCTTAAAATGAGGGTGTGGGACCAAATGGCCCCTCTAGTCCTTTCCACCTTTTTAATTTTTATGAACTACAATTTTACAAGGTGAACTGATGCTTAACTGATGCCCCCAGCTTCTCCCCATCCCCTCCTCCAGGATGCATGAAGGGGGGGGAAGGGGGGCAGGGAGCCCAAAAGTTCTGAAAGTAGAGGGAGAAGGGCTGAGGCTGGGGCTCCATTATGCTAATTTAATTAGCTCTAATCTGCCCACAGCAGGGCCTTGAAGAAAGAGGCTTTTGTTTAAATTTCACATTTGGCAGGAAGTGCTCCTTCTCCTCCCCACTCCCACCCCCCAGTGGAGTTTAAGAGTCAAAAGCTCTAATTTCAGTCCTGGCTCTCACATCTAGCACTGGGGCTTCCTTTTCACACTTCTTTGACCAACTCCTTGATTTTTCCAGGAAGGAAATATGCCCCAGATGTCTGTCAGTAAAAGGAGAGTTTTTATCTGCCCTTATAAAAGGGCGTCAGTAATTCACAGATTCCCCAAGAAGCGAGCGACAAGGCAGGGAAAGGCCAGCGGACTTCTCTCCACTGATAAAACAAAGGTTTACTAATCAACTAAACCCCCTCCCATGGGCAGGGAGCTTCACAACCGTCTTACCAGGATAATAAGAACAGAAATCCCCCTCTTGTTCATCCATTCAACCAATGCTTATTGAGTACCTACTCTTCACAGGAGAGGAGGGAGAAGGGTGTAAGGGGAGGGGGGTGACTTGCTTCATGCCTCCCAGCCTGGTGGTGGCACAGCAAGCCTGTAATCTGAATCTCCAAAACCAAAAGGCCCTGGTTTGTAGCACTGGCTGATTTCCTCGCTGTAAACTTCCCCACCATGGCCAATTTCCGGCTATCAACAATGTTTAACAAGCAGCTTGCAAAATTCCTGAATATTTAAAAATCAGCTCTCTGAGAGCCTCCGGACTAGAAGCGAATTCTCCTGGCTTCTAAAAAGGGGAACCTTCATGAAACCTACCTGAAGGATTGTTAACAGTGGTTGGATTTCAGGCATGTTTTATTTTCTTCCGCATCTGTATTTTCCCAAATATCTTATGAGCGCATATTACCTTTACAGTCAGAACATACCTGGGTAATGAGTCATTTTTTACTGAGCTGAGTGGAATGCTTTGCAATCACCTCCCCACATAATTTCTTTCTGCCACCCTTGGGCATGAGAGAGAAAGGGAGAGTTTCCTAAAAGCCCAACTTCCCTGGCAGAACAGAGCAGGTGCACCTAAGTTCAGCCGTTCACCTGAATCTCGTGCAGTCTCACCTGGAGGACAAATTCATGCCCTCTGGAGTTCAAATTTCACCAGCAACCGAGAAAATACAACTCCCTGTTCAAAGAGTCCAAAAGCCGTGCTCTAAAAAATCAAAGTCTCTTCGGCCATCAAATGACCTTGCCCCCCAATGGGCAGAGGTGGAAGCAGACGGTTCGACTTATCAGAAACAACTGCTCCTTCTCCCTGAGCCTTAGAGAAAGAGGTTTCCCCAGAGGAGGAGGCTTCCACCCTCTTATATGCCCCCAAGCTGGGATGCAGGTGGTCTTACCTCCGTGCTGGGACACAGGCCTGGCACCCGGGCTTGGGACCGCTCAAGGAGGCCAGTTCATTTCAGCTGGGCTCCAGGATCTCACTGCTTCTCCCTCTCTGCACAACTGGCTCTACCTTGCCTGCGGAGAGGAGAAGAAATAAATAAATAAACCACAGGCACACAGAGAAAAGCTGCAGGCAGAGCACCAGAAGCGCGTATGTTAACACATGCAGGAGGGTTAGGACCCTGCCTCCTCCCACGCCCCGCCCTGGTCACTCCTGACCCTTTAGAGCCCCTTCCAGAACGACAGCCCCACCTGAGAGAGCCGGGCCGCTTTCCCAGGGCTCAAGCCGCCCATGTGCTCGCCCAGACCTACCCCTCCTGTGGCTGCACAATTTCAGTGAGCTGCAGGTGAAGCAAAGCAAACTACCACAGTCCCTTAGTCCCGTTATCAGTAAGGAAAGCACGAAAGAGAAAACTACGGTTGTGGCCCCAAGTTTCATTTATAGATAAGTCTTCTGGATAGCTGGTTCCAATCAACCAATATATCATCACCCTTGCCCCGTCTCCCTGCGACCGACAGTATAGTGTGTGTCATGTTACAAATGTGAACTCAACTCCTGATTTATTTTGAGAGCATTTGTAACGGAAACTAAGTTTCCAACCCCTATATTGTTATAGCTGCCTGGGTGGATGGCATTTGTTTTTCAAGTAACTGTTGGTCTTCCGAATGTCAAAGAAATTTATGTCCCATCTAGAAATTTTAGAAAATAGAGTTCAGTCAGAAGGAAAAAAATTACCTATTCTTCTTTCTCCAGGATAACTACAGATAACAAACCCTTCCTGGCTTTATTTGGTGATCTGGAGTTTTTACAAAGATGCAAGGAAGCGAGGCAGGGCTTAGTGCAATGTCATCAGCAGTCTTCTGCAGGGGCTACGGAACCTGTCCCTCGGTGGCCAGACCAGAACTGTCACCCCACCCCCAAAGGCTGGCCGTCACCAGTGGTTTTTTGTTAATTACAAATAGTTTGTAAAACTAAATCTTTGGGGAAACCCATGGTTATTTCCGTAAGACCCAGTCAAAGAGTTTCCAAATGTCTCAGGCTTGGCCTGCTGCCTCCAGGACTTCTGTGCCATATAAAGGGCTCCGGGCACTGGCGAGAGGTGACCCAGTGCCCCGGGCCTGGCCTCCCCTCCCTCCCCTCCACCCAGCCCCTCCCTCACCCACATCCTCGCTCGCCAGGTGTAACATTTCCAGTGCAAATGAGCACCCAGTGCCAGCAGTCTGGGTCGTCACTTGTCGTGTTCACACTCAGCTCAGCCAAGTATAAGACCTGATGATAAAACGAGGTCCCCTAATCAAGCTTAGGGAGGGGCTGTGTGAGAAGGAACTGGAAGGAGGAAAAGGTGAGAAATGCCCTGAGGAACAGAGAGGCGTGGTAACACACAAGTGTGGTGTCCAGGAGGAAGAGACCCTGAGATGCCATGAGAAACAACAGTCAGGCCACGAGAGTGCAGACCCCAAGAGGAAGTACCACCAGATGAAAGCGGAGGTAAAGTGAGCCACTGAGAGTATGGAAATGTCAAGGTCTCGCAAAGATTCAGGGTGAGCAGAACAAAGGACAAAGGCATCAGGTGACATGAGAAAATAAAAAGCCACTTGCAGCATTTGGGCACTTTGCCGCTGTCTACAATTAATGCCGACAAAACACCAGGGGCCAAAGACACGGTGCGGAGACTGGGTCAGGCTGGGAAGAGATCTCTATGTGAAATGCAGCCAAGCTGGGGCCCATCTGGGAGCCTGCCTGTAACCAGGCTTCCCCAGGGAACAGGACCAAGGTGCTCCCAGGGTTGGGGGACTAGGGGACCGCTGACTCACTGGAGGGAGGCTGCCTCTCTCCATCTCTCTCTTATCCCTCCTTTGGCTCCAGGCCAAACCTTCAGTGAGACATGGGTAGTTCTCCACATAATCTGTCTAAACAGACTTCATGGATTTCTGTGGCCCTGTGACCCAGGCAAAGACCCTGGGAAGCCAAGCCTCATGCCCCTTCCCAGCTGACCAGCCCCCCTGCCACTCCGCCCCATGCACCCTACACTCCAGCCACAGCAATCTGCAGACCACTGAGGGAATGTGGGGTTCCATCCGTGCTTTTTAAATCCTTTGGCAGGTGGCTTGCAGACCTCCGATATTGCTCAAATAGGCAAGTCATTCTACCTGTCTCCCTGCTACCCAACCCATACTCACACCTGGGCCTCCCCCTGATGGACAAAGGGTGGAACTTGGACTTAAAAGCAACTCACCTAAATAAGGGAGTTGGACCACTCAGATACTTTCAAAATTGCAACTATGAAAAAAGACTACAGTCAGCTAGTGGTGGACCCTCAAGCTTCAAGGGAAGGTAGTAGGGGCGCTAGAAGAAGTGAATGCCATGCACAAGATCAAGTGATGGGGCCACGGGGCCCTGCAGAAGGAGAGGAAGCTGGCCCACAAAGAGAACAGGGCAGAGGCCCAGGGAGAGGCAGACAGGAAACTGTGTAGTCCCAGAGAGAGCAGATGCTTGGTGATGTTCTAGAAACTGCAAAGCTCATCTGAACTTCCTCCTTTTTATTCCTATAAGCATCCCCTGAATCCCTTCCAGAAACCCCTGAAGAGCTAGGTTTAAAGCGGCTCTGGGGTCCCAGCGGCTTCAGCTCACTGAAGTCTTCCAGGGCGGGGACTGAGAGCAGAGGTGCTCCCCCACTATCACCCAGTGCACGGCTCTGTACTTGGGCTCTGGCCATCCATTGTGGCTGTTCAAAAGCCCTTTTTTTTTTAACTTCCTTCCCAAGTTTATGGCTAGATTTTTGACAGATGAGGCAACTTGATGGGATAGCCTTGGATTGCAAGTACAACTTGTACTTTGCAGAAACATGAGAAATAAACAATAACAGAGCAGTAATAACAGACAGTAGATTTTTCTATTATACAGTTTTGCTATTAAGTGGCTTATACTTACTCCTCCTACCACCCTACCGGTGTGACCCATTCAGCGGACCACAGAGGCCCCTTGCATTCCCTTGCCCCTGAGCCACCTATATACTCATGGACTTCCTTGTAGTTTTAATACAGCACCCACTGAATTGATGACCGCCTGTAATCTGTAGGTGTTCTGCTCCCCGACCTTCCTCCAATTCCACAAGGGTCACTGGCTTGACATCTAGATTTGGCTTCACCCCTTGTCTCCCGCGGCCTAACCAGCCAATGCTCTACTCCATGCCTTCCTCATGCTTGGGGCCTGTTCTCTGCCCCATCACTTCCTGCCCTCACTCCTGCCTGCACCATTCCCTCACTTGACAGCCCCTGGCAGCTCCTAGCTAAGGTCCTCCGTCAGCCCCCAAAGCATCAGAAGAAGATTCTAAGGAAGAAAGCAGACAAATGAGAGGCTGCCTTGGCCTCGTTAACTCCCTCACACCTCATGTACGTGTTTCCTTCAGATATACAAGGTGTGGGCGCTGACCACAGACCAGAGCCAGGATTTAGAGAGCCCACCAAGAACCAAAGAACCCAAAGAAGTTCATAGAATGAGCCAAGCACATACACCATAAGAATTTCATGGCCCAGGGCGCCTGGGTGGCTCAGTCGTTAAGCGTCTGCCTTCTGCTCAGGTCATGGTCCCAGGGTCCTGGGATCGAGCCCCGCATCGGGCTCCCTGCTCCGCGGGAAGCCTGCTTCTCCCTCTCCCACTCCCCCTGCTTGTGTTCCCTCTCTCGCTGTGTCTCTCTGTCAAATAAATAAATAAAATCTTAAAAAAAGAAAAGAATTTCATGGCCCAGCATCCCCTGATGTAAGCGTCCCCCAAACAAGGACCATTACTGATGGGCTTGGTTTTGAGTCAGAGAATGGGTCAACGTATCCCAGGGGTAGGGTTCGGGCCCCAGGTCCCTGGCTTAAATGAAGGATCGCCATAGGCACACAGGAGCCTTGGCATAAAAGATAACCCTGTTAACCCTGATTCCATTATTCCACATTATCTGGAATGTGAGCGGCTGCTCTGATTGTTTGGATATGGAAGCTAAATTAGCTAAGAGCTTTTATCGATCCTTGTACATAAAACTTTCCAGGGTCTGGGTCTCTACAAATTTGCTGAGCTCTACAGTCAGATCAGAAGACATTGCACCCAAAATACAATGAGAATTTCTGCTAAAATCAGAAGACTTCCTGGATTATTTCTGCCTTCCCCTTCCTTCTGAGCTCTTGTTTCTTCTGGAAGGTTCATCTGTAGGGCCCAGACCCAACATTATAGGGCTTCTATACCAGACCAAGGGCTAACCACAATGTTCCTTTTTTTTTTTTTTTAATTTAAATGTTTTTGGCAACTACTGTGTGCCAGGCACTTACTATACTAAATTATTCATTTATTCCTCACACAATCCTATGAGGCAAGGAGTGTTTTCTCCATTTTCAGGCGAGGAAAAGGTCTTAAGTAACTAGCCGGGGCCCAAAGCTGGGAAGAGATGAAGCCCGAATTCTACCCACTAGCCTGCCTCCCCAAGGCTTTCTTCCCTCAGTGTTAGGACAGAGCTCCGCCAAGCTCTCTCAACAAAAGCCGAAATTAAGGAGGAGTTCAACACTGACTACACGGGCTCTGACAAGAAAAGAAATGGTGTAAAGAATTTATTTCCAGAGAACCAGAAAAAGGAAGTTCTTCTGCCACTGCCGTGTGCAAAACCCCAAAGAAGGGAGCTCCTGCTCATTTCTTTGACTGTGTTGTTAACATGTTGTCGGCGGCAAACAATCCCTCAGTTTTGACTGTGCCTATTCGAGCTGCCAATCTGGATATGCACGGAGACACACAGGCCCTTTCTATAGTCAGAGCCATACACATGACTTCAGGCCTTGCCCCGCTCCTGCAGACCCCTAATCTCTGCCACCCAAATGCAACAACTTTTAGCTCTTTGATCTAATTCTAGAAGGATCTCTGTGTATCTAAATAGCATACCTACATGGCCTTTTGTTTTCAATATTAGATATTATTCATTACTTCCTATTATGGAAAATGAGAATTTAGCTTGCTTTTATCACCATCCCATGTACCTCTTCTACTTCTCCTAATATAAACCTTTTTTTTTTTTTATTAAGTCAGCACTAGATGTTACATT